TTCTTCTTCTTCTTCTTCTTCTTCTTCTTCTTCTTCTTCTTCTTCTTCTTCTTCTTCTTCTTCTTCTTCTTCTTCTTCTTCTTCTTCTTCTTCTTAAATTCCGTATTCTTGGAACTGTATCTTGTTCTCCCAGATCGCATAAGGGCGATCGACCAAAGGAAATATATTGCTAAATGCCTTCGCGATGTCGACACAAGCAGCCTTCCAGAAGTGTATGACTTTGATGACTGTTTCGATACGCGTCTTACAGTCCATCGATCCGTTCGTCGAGACCAGTACATCGCCCCGGAGTCCGCGGCGACTTCCGAACTTCTTATAGTGACGAAATTTTCTTGGATATCACCTGAATATCCCTGATGGCAACGGCTAGGATGACCTCAAAGAGAACGTGACAACGCGATTCCACAACCTTTTCACCAACGTATCGCGGAGAGGTCTTGTCGAACATGAGGGTACTATACATGTGAGCCTCATTTTCATGGTGTCTGTCGCAAATATCCTTCATGTTATGCATCGCATTCATCAGCAGAACAATGTAGTCACCTCGAGCCGCTTCGACCTGATCAATAGTGGGGTCCCGGTCTGGGGTGATGTATTGCTCATGGGTTACGCGGCACATTTGCATCAACGCCTCCTGCGTACTCATGGTCAATCAATGATCGACAACGGTTGACTGTGAGGCTGTAATGTTGAGGTATGGCTGCAAGGGTACATGAGTGTGTACAGCTTGTGTTATGGCAAACATTCGAGATATTGGTACATTGAAGCGCGTAAGTTTGAGGTCAGAGAGGGCAAGTAGGCAAAGGCTTTTGTATTCGTGGCGGGCGTTAAGTATCGTCGAGAAACCGCGCGAGGGATCCGAGCGCAGACACAGATTAACATCCATTTTTTAAGTTTTGAGAAAGTGAATGTCACATACGGCAGAGGTCATGGGAAAGGCCCCGTATATATCTTACTTGCTGATCAGCCTGTCTCTTCTGGCTACGGAACAGCAGCTTGGCCTTGACCTTTCAGGCAGTGACGAAACCTTGAAGATGTGGACGAGAACAATCTCAATCATTCACCTGATCGAACCTAAGGCACAGTAAAACAGCCCCTGGCAGCCTTTTAATCTTATTAAAATTTTCCATGTGGCAAAATCAGTCTACAGGCTGGGCCGGGCGCCCAACTACATCCAGCTGAAATCAATCGAGAGTGTGCATCATAGAGCCCCTATTGGCGCACGAACTGATGTTGGCGCAACGATTTCATGCTCGACAGCCGGAAAAATCGTTTACCTAACTTCTTATTCAAAGATACCTGCGCAAGTGTGAGACTCATCATGGTCCCCACGGTCGATGGTAATCCTGAACAACTCTTTGTGTAGATGAAGTCTGGAGATGTTGCCAAGGTGAACGCTTCCAACCTCAAAATTATAACGAAAATAACGCTTGGAAAGACAGGCTGTCAGCATGTCATGTCGGAAATACTTAGATGGGTCGATCTCACTGGCATTGAGCCTATTTGGAAGACAAACATGATAACGTACGTTCATCTCTCACGAAACACCCATTGTGCCGAAACAATTCCTCGGTACGTCGACTTTAGGGCCTAATAAAGAGCGAGATGATAGATCCACGTTGGCTAAGGGGAAGATGACCTTTTCTCCTTATCCAACGTCTTGTACCTACACGTAGATACCGAACGCAGTAATATCAGTCTAGCCTACTAGGCCGCAGACGTCTCTACTCGTTGCTCTCGTGACACTATATGTCTGCCTGCTCTCCTTCCCATTGCTCTAGGACTAGCAGGGAAGACAAGTAGTGTGGGTGACTAGCTCCTAGCACTTGTTCATACCGTTGTACACACTGCTGCATCAGACATATAGCTTTTACAGTCCGGCCAAGTGATTTCCATGTGAAAGCCAGGTTGTTCATGCTGGTCAGCGTCTCTGGATGGTCTGCTCCGAGCTTCGTCTTGCTCGTCTCCATCACCTGCACCTCTAGCTTCTCCGCCTCCTCCCATCGGCCTTGGTTCC